TGCTATGAGCATTCACATATGAGTCTTTGGCCATAAACTTATCTTTTTTTTTTTTTTTTTGCATACACTTGAAAAAGAAATTTCTGAGTATTACGGTGATTCTAGATAATATTTTGAGAAACTGCCAAAATGTTTTTCAAAGTGCCTGCACTATTTTACATTCTCATTTACAATATGACAGTTCCATATTCTGTAAATCGTTGTTGACACATTATTGTCTATATTATAGCCATTTTATTGGGTGTTAATTATCTTCCTTATGGTTTTCATTTGCATTTCTATAATCACAATAATGTTCATATTTCCACGTTCTTATTGACAATTTGCATATCTTCCTGTAGACACGTGTATTTAAATCCTTTGTCCGTTTTAAAAACTTGATTGTCTACTATTGACTTTTAAGAGTTTCATCTTTATTCTGAAATATAGCCCTCACGCAGATACATAATTTAAAATTTTTTTACATTAATTGGCTTGTATTTTTATTTTCTTTATGGCCTCATTTGAAAAACATAAGTGTTAAAATGTTATCAAATGCAGTTTATCTTTTTATTTCCTTCTCTAGAATGTGATTTTGGTGTTATTTCTAAGAAATTGTTACCTAGCTTATAATTACAAATATTTACTCCATATTTCTCTATAAGTTTTATCATTTTATCTCCTACAAACAATAAGAGATCTATTTTGAACACTTTTGTGAATAGGTTTGATTTGAGTGAGGAGTTCAACTTTATCTTTCTGCAAGTGCATATAATTTTCCCAGCACCTTTTGCTGAAAAAAGCTGTCTGTACAATAGACAGTGTTTTGTGTGTGTGTGTATGTCTGTTATTATTTTTTTTTCTGGAAAAAAATAGCTAGTCTTTGCCATGCAGTATTTCTCCCTTATGTGAGTTCTCTGATGTCTGCTTAGGTGTGACTTCTGACAAAAGATGTTCTACATTCATTACAATGAGCCATCCATATCCACAAGATCCACATTCATGGATTCAACCAACTATAGATCAAAAATATTTGAAAAAAAGAAAGTATGGCAATACAAAATATACCAAAAAAACCTATTTATATTGGTTTTAATGTATTCAGTAACATAAGTAATCTAGACATGATGTGAAATTGTGCAGCAGGATGTTACTATAGCTCACCACTTCATATACGACTTGAGCATCCACAGATTTTGGTATGTATGGAAAGTTTTGAAACCATTCCCCTGTGGATATGAATGGACTTCTGTACATTAATAGGTTTTCTCTTTTATGTGAGTTCTCTGATGAATCCTGAAGTGTGCTCATGACTAGTAAGTTTTGATGTCTGGTAGAAAGATTTCCTACATTCATTACATTCATATGGTTTCACAACTGTGTGAGTTCTTTGATGTACACTGAGGTCTACTTTACTGTATAAGGTTTCCTGTATTCTTTACATTCATCTGGATTCTCACATGTGGAAATTCTCCAATGCTTGCTGAGGTTTGACTTCTGGTGAAAAGGTTTTCCACATTCATTACATACATAGGGCTTCTCATCTGTGTGAATCTCTGATGCATGCTGAAGATTGACTTACGTTTGAAGGTTTTTTCACACTCATTGTATTCATAGGGCCTTTTCTATTTGTGTGTGACTTTTCTTATGTTTATTGAGATCCAAGTTATGGAAGAAAGATTTTGTACATTCTTTATACTCATGGTGTCTCACCTGTGTGAGTACTGTGATGTACATTGAGGTCTGATTTACTTCACAAGATTTTTGAACATTCTTTTCATTCATATGGTTTCTTACCTGTGGGAATTCTCTGATGTCTGGTGAGGTTTGACTTCCTGTGAAAGGTTTTCCCACATTGACTACATTCATATGGTTTCTCACCTGTGTGCGTTATCTGATGTGCACTGAGGTATGATTTTGAGTTTTTCTACATTCTTTACATTCATATGGTTTCTCACCTGTGTGAATTCTCTGATGCTTGCTGAGATTTGACTTCTCATAAAGGTTTTTCCACATGCACTACATTCATATGGTTTCTCACCTGTGTGAATTCTCTGATGCCTGCTGAGGTGTGACTTCTTGTGAAAGGTATTTCCACATTCACTACATTCATATGGTTTCTCACCTGTGTGAATTCTCTGATGCCTGCTGAGGTGTGACTTCTTGTGAAAGGTATTTCCACATTCACTACATTCATATGGTTTCTCACCTGAGTGAATTCTCTGATGCCTCCTGAGGTGTGACTTCCTGTGAAAGCTTTTTCCACATTCACTACATTCATATGGTCTCTCACCTGTGTGAATTCTCTGATGCCTGCTGAGGCGTGACTTCCTGTGAAAGATTTTTCCACATGCACTACATTCATATGGTTTCTCACCTGTGTGAATTCTCTGATGCCTGCTGAGGCGTGACTTCCTGTGAAAGGTATTTCCACATTCACTACATTCATATGGTTTCTCACCTGAGTGAATTCTCTGATGCCTCCTGAGGTGTGACTTCCTGTGAAAGCTTTTTCCACATTCACTACATTCATACGGTTTCTCACCTGTGTGAATTCTCTTATGTACACTGAGGCATGATTTACGGGAAAAAGTTTTTCCACATTCTTTACATTCATATGGTTTCTCACCTGTGTGAGTTCTCTGATGT